TGATTTTAAAGAATTTTTTTAAATTGTTAAAGTGTTCATAATCTTAAATTCATTTCTTTCTTGTGGTTTCCGAAGTCTTACTTAATCTATCCAAGTATTCCAAATATTGCTTAACCAAAATTAAACAAATATTATCAAAATTTTCAAATTTGGTCTCTACTTTTTGAAATTTTAAAAAACAATCTTTAAGATTACTCCAATTTTTAAAGTATTTACTTAATTTCTCAAATAATAATTATACATTATTTAAGAGGTTTAAATAACCTATAAATATCTAAATCCAAAGCCAAAACGCTAAAACTAACTTTAACTTTAAGAACCAAAGAAAACTATTAAAAAAATCCAACATAATTTCACATTCAGCACACTTGCTACATTCCCTTTATAATTCCACGCCATATGACCAACTGAGCTAACTAAATGAAATATACAATTTAATAACTAAAATAAGTACCTACTAAAAAAAACGCATTCCATCAGCATCTCACAAACAGCACACTCTCCTCCACACGCTAAACATATTTTTTTGGAGCTAACCCAAACTGCGCCTCCCGACAAACTGAATTTAAGAACAGGGAAACCGCTGAGTAGACCCAGAGAATAACCCAACATCACGTACTTTTCTATGCGCCACAATTCGCCAGTGTCCCGGGAGCGTGCCAGCGAGGCAGCGGCAGCCACTCAGACAGCAGCAGCAGCGGCGGGCGGAACGACGGCGTCAGCAGCCGGAGGTGGAGGAGCAGCAACAGCTTCGGCAACAACTGGGGCAGGCGGCACTTCCGGATCCGGAACAGCCTCCGCGAACACGAACAGCAATTCCTCAGCCTCATCCAGCACAGTGGCAGCTGCACAGGCGGCTGTCTACAGCGGCGGCAACACGGTGACCGGCAGTTTGGGCAGCGGCGGGGTGGTGGCTCGTGGCTTCCGCAGCCACAGCCCCACCCATCGGCGGCGTAGTCGCGAACGCCAGAGACGCACCCATGGCTCTGATCAGGGCGGCCTGCTGGCCTACAGCGGTCTCGTTGGTGGCATCAACGACATGACGGATTTCCTGGGTCCAAATCAGGGCGGCGGCGGCGGTGGAGGAGGAGGTGGCGGTGGCAGCGCTGGCACTGGCAGCGGGCTGGAGGACTCACGGTTGTCTGGCAACGAGGACTACTATTCATCATTCGTATCCGATGAGTTTGACAGCAGCAAAAAGGTGCATCGCCGCTGCCATGAGCGCAGCTCAAGCGTCCAGGCCATTGACCGTTTGAACACCAAGATCCAATGCACCAAGGAGTCCATCCGTCAAGAGCAAACTGCCAGAGATGGTGAGTATTAAGATTCCAAAGAAAAATTCCTACAGAGAAGTATTGCAACTTTCCAACTTTATTTCAGATAATGTCAATGAGTATCTGAAGCTGGCAGCCAGTGCCGACAAACAACAGCTGCAGCGCATCAAGGTGGGTTCTCCCTTATAATCCTTAAATCCACTAAAAGCACAAAACCTAACCACTATCCCACTTGCAGGCTGTCTTCGAGAAGAAGAACCAGAAGAGTGCGCACAACATTTCGCAGCTGCAAAAGAAACTGGACAATTACACGAAACGGGCCAAGGATCTACAGAATCACCAGTTCCAGACCAAAAGCCAGCATCGCCAGCCGCGTGAGGTGTTGCGCGATGTGGGCCAGGGATTGCGCAATGTTGGTGGCAACATCCGTGACGGCATCACTGGCTTTTCCGGTTCGGTGATGTCCAAGCCGCGTGAATTTGCCCACCTTATCAAGAACAAGTTTGGCAGCGCCGACAACATCAATCAGATGAGCGAAGCCGAGCTGCAAGGCATGCAGGCGAATGCCAATGCCGATGTCCTGGCGGCCAATGAACGATTGCAGCAGGTGCCCGGTGCGGGCACTTCAACAGGATCGGGCGGTGGCGGTGGTCACAACAACAACAATAACACAGGTGGGGCTGGCAGTGGCACAGGCAAATTCAACAGTGACAACAGTGAATGCAGTAGCGTGACCAGCGAAAGTATACCGGCCGGGTAAGTTCCGAAGAGTATTTGATTTTTCTTGATTTAAATGTTATTTTCATATGAAATCAAAGAAACAAATTCGTACTTTGCGAACATCTATCCTAAGTAATCTAATTTTATATTTTTCTTGACAGTTCTGGCAAAAGCCAGTCGGGTGCCAGCCAATACCATATAGTGCTCAAGACATTGCTGACCGAGCTGGCCGAGCGAAAGGCTGAAAACGAGAAGCTCAAGGAGCGCATCGAACGGCTGGAGGTATGTGTATACATTATACATTTCTAGGGAAGCCAGGAAAGTCTAATCCTTTTATTCGTGTTCTATTTCCGGTAGACGGGCCAAAAGGAATTCAACAATCTGACCGCCACACTCGAAAGTGAACGATATCGTGCCGAGGGACTCGAGGAGCAAATCAATGACTTGACGGAATTACATCAGGTTCGTAGTTCGTAGTTCACTTGGCCGACACGCTGAGCTGACGCCTTGGCAGTTTGCCCAACATTCGTGCGATGCTCATGCCTTTGCCACCTCTCTTTGTTCCCACAGAATGAAATTGAGAATCTGAAGCAAACGATTGCCGACATGGAGGAGAAAGTACAATACCAAAGCGATGAAAGACTACGTGACGTCAACGAAGTGCTCGAGAACTGTCAAACGAGGGTAAGTTCGAGGCGCAACGCCCAAGTCCCCCCCAAATCCGTTTGCAAACACAGAATCTAACCGGAGCACTTGCTTGCTTGCCACACAGATATCGAAAATGGAGCACATGTCGCAGCAACAATATGTCACCGTCGAGGGCATTGATAATTCCAATGCACGGGCCTTGGTTGTGAAACTCATCAATGTGGTATTAACGATATTGCAAGTGGTACTCCTGCTGGTGGCAACCGCAGCTGGCATTATAATGCCGTTTCTCAAAACGAGGTAATAAGTTGGGAATGTGTATTGAATGGGAAATAACTGATAAATCGACAAATATATCGAAATATGCCATATCAAAAATATGATATATCGATTTTTTAAATATAGAAAAATATCAAATTTAACATTTAAAAAATGAAAAAATATTTGTGAATTTATTTGATATATCGACAAAACTATCGAAATATGCCATATCGAAATTATGGTATATCGAATTTATATATTTATCGAAAAATATCAAATTTAATATTTAAACAACTAACAAATATTTGTTAATTTATTTTTTTCGATTTTATTTTTACGATAAATCAAATTGTTTATTAAATTATCGCAAATATATCGCTACGTTAAATATTTTTACTTTATCGATATATAAATATTTGCTGTAATCCTTAGTAATATTACTTATTACTTCTATTTTTATTTTAGGGTTCGTGTTCTCACCACCTTTCTGTCGATATGCTTCGTTATCTTTGTGATACGACAATGGCCGGATGTACAGGATATAGGCTCGGGCCTTGTGCGGCATCTCAAGCAATCGCTGGTGGTCAAGTGAACTCTGCCTCCATCTCATCTACCGAGTAGTTCGTACGTTCTTTAGTTAGCTTAAGGTCTAAAGTGCTGCATACCTTGTATATATAGCTTATCGATGATAACGAGAATAACAATTATTATATTTTTAACTGAAATTGTATCAATTATCCATACGAACATACACTCACTCTCGAGGAACTGTACAAAAACATTCAACCAATCATCAAACACAATCTCGCATCAAATTTAGCAAAATTGATTTAAACTATGTATGTGTATGTATGTAAAAGTAACTTGAAAATGCTGACATGTCTCCGTGCATCACTCAACTACGTATATTTGAGCATACATAATATGTGTATGCATAACCTATATAAAATATATTTACATTACTATATTAAATGCTATTGAAATTATATATAAAATGAAAGTTTGTATAAATCCCCGATTTACTGTGTATTTATTTTGCACAACCAACCACATTGTACGTACGTAACGTTTGCCTAAAGAATGTAGCAACTTTCAAATGGTGGCCTAAATATCTAATTATAGATATATACCAATTTACACAAGTCGCCTAGGATAGTTCGAACAGCTGCCGTCTTTCCCAGCTTAGATCCAAAATAATTCCTAGAGGAGCGACAATTAAAGTTGAAAACAAATATATATATATATCTATGACAAACAAGAATCCCCAATACGAGTTGTGTCTTTATTTATTGCTGTGTGTGGGTCAGGGAGTGGGAAGTTTATTGAAAATAAGCTTTTAATTGAATCTTTCAAAGGGTTTAATTTATTTAATAATATGAAAAGCTAATTATGAACTGGGAACACGCAAGGAAGAGCTTGAATATACAGTTGCCTCAAGACAAACGCGTTGTCTGTTAAGAATATTACATTTTAGATAAGTATTCTAATTGTAATGAAAAAGGAAATTGCTAGCTAAATCCTTAAATCCTTAATAATTCCTTGACATTAAAATTAACGTAAGAATACACTCTACATTAGCAGGGTATAATATAATCTAATATACCAGCCGAGTCGATCTAGCAATGCCCGATAAAAACAAAAAAACCCATTTTTGCAAATTTAAAATTATTTAAAATAAAAAAACGTTCATCTTTAAACTTTAAAATTAAAATTAAAGAAAAGTACTTCTGGAAACCCAAAAAATCACCTTGATACAACAATTATAAAGACAGACCGATGATTAAAAATATCTTTTGCAGCTGTATTGCGCTTGGAAAGTGGAAACTTTTGGGATAAATATACATATGTATACAAAATCAGCTTGGTTATTGTCCCAATACAGATGATTCTGATTCGGATGCCAATGGAAAGTTCAACCATTATAGGACAGTGTCTGTTGACTAGCATTATCCGATTGCCCCAAAATATTATTAACAATAGAGCCCATTGTTAAGTTGTTTTCGATTTGGTAATCGAGTTCCTCCCACTGACTATATAAAGCCATAATTTGACCGATCAGTCAGTTCAAAGTGAGCATCCATAAAGAAACCAACGAAAATGAAGTTCATTCTGATCTTGGCTTGCCTTGTCCTGTATTTGAGTCTCACTTATGCCCAGGACAGTTGCAGGGGCAGTCCTCGTAAGCAGAAATATAATTACATTAATCAGGTTAATAGGTTTAATATGTATGTTCCCCTATCCTAGGCAACCAGACTTGTATTGGCGGCAGGAATGAAGGACATCGAAATGGACGTAATTGCCGGAGATCAGCCATGAACGAAATGTGGTACTTCAACAGGCGAACCAGGGACTGTCTAAAGATGAGATATCACGGATGTGGTGGCAACCAGAACCGCTACTGCTCCAAGAGATCTTGCAGAAGGTCGTGTGGTTAACCATAAAATAGTGGCATGAACTTGATCCCGATATTGAAAAAAAAAAATTATTAAAAAAAATAACAATAATCTAATAAAAATATTTGTGCAAAACTTTATAAATGCAACTTGGTTTTATTGAAGAACTTCATTATTTTTCTAATGAATTTTTACCAATCTATGGTCTAAAAACTTTTCCATAAGTAATATAAAATTAGGTTGTATTATACCCTTGCAGAGTATTATAATTTCAGTCAGAAGTTTGCAACGCAGTGAAGGACACATTTCCGACCCTATAAAGTACATATATTCCTGATCAGCATCAACAGCCGAGTCGATCTAGCCATGTCCGTCTGTCCGTTTCTATGCAAACTAAAGCTATCTGAATTAAACTTTGCATATAGTCTTCTATATACTTTCACTGCCGGATCGGACGACTATATCATATAGCTGCCATAGAAGCGATCGGTAAATGTATAGAATATGTAAAGCTGTGAATGTAAAACTGTAAATGTCAAACTGTAAACATAATAAGTATAGGTAAAATGTAATGAAACTCTGTTTTGTGAGTGTTTTCGGCATTATAATCTATAACATAAATATCAAAACCAATCTGCAAGGATATACAAACTTCGGCCTGCCGAAGTTAGCTTCCTTTCTTGTTTTTCAAGATATTTTCATCTACTTTCAGACCGTTTTACGAGATTGTTATACAGTTAGAAAAACACAGTCGCTTAGTATATATTCATTACGTTTATTTTTGTTGAATGTAAATTAAATTTAGATTACACTGCCACAGCATTGCTATATATCTGCATCTATGCCCTAATTGATTTCGTTTTGTTTCATGAACAGTTTTCATCAGTTGCTTTTGTTATAAGTATTTTTATTTTCTTTATTATTATTATTATTTGTTTTTGTTGTTTTTTTTTTTGGGAAAAATAATCACAAACTAGCGCTTAAGTTTTCTACTTGTAGTGGAGTGTGTTGTGGCAACGACGACATTGACTTTGAAATATATTTTGATCATATTTTGGTAAAGTTATCTCTGCTCTCAAAACACGGGTCGAAAATCAAATAGTAACATTGGATATCAGAGTTTCGTATGCTAAGAAATAGTTAACTTAAAATTAGTTAAATCGAGAATAATGTACAATATACAGGCCAATGCCACATAATCATTTTTAATAGTTTACATTAATTTCATTCTGTTTTTTTAGCTGTTTAAAGTCGAATTAAAATGTCCACTTGATTAACAGCCGACTAATTTCATGAATCAGCAGCTTAGTCGCTGTGTGTAAGTGTTGCATCTGTGTGGTGTCGGAAAACAGAAAAAAAAAACAATAATTAATCCGAATCAGGTAAGCAATTAAATCTTAAATCGTTTTCTAACTTTCTTTCTTTGACTTTTTGGTTGTGTTTCGCTGGCGGGGGGAGGGGCGGACCTTGTAGTAAGCCGATTGGGTTAATTGTAAAATGTATATAAAATAAATCACAATTTGTTTACGTCGTGTGTGTGTGTGTGTTTTGTGTTTGCGTTTTGTCTCTGTGTTTGCGGGAGAATGTCCTGGAAGTGGGACAACAGCGCACAGTCCATCCAACACAGGGTTTGGCTACATATTTATTAATATTAATAATAAACATTAGTTAATTGTTAAAACAAAGCAGCTGGCAGCCACAGCATTGATAGCGAAAACCCAATCGAAAAACTGCATTCCATATTCTTGGATCGAGGATCATCGACTGGACAGACAACCTACAGGCTAAGGACTCGCTACTCATATGAGAAACTGGCGATCGGAGGCGCTGTGAGGCAGTGCGGCCACGCCTATGCCGCCCTGCGTGGGCGTTTGCAGAAACGCTGAATCATCGACGGCGACGGCGGCTCCCGTCGTCTCCGTGGCAGGCGTACTGATTGCTATCGGTTCGTAGATCGAGCGATGCGGTGGCATATCGTCGTCGTCCTTGAAGGAGCCGCTTAAATTCGGATTGAGGATGTTGTTCGATGCGGGCGTGGCCACAGCAACTGTCCCCGTCACCGGCAGACCCATGGCACCCATGGTACCGGACTCCACATGATCCAGAAAAGGCGGCGCCGTCACACTAATTGTGGTCGGCTGGCGTCGGAAGAATGAACTGTAAGAGAAAAGAATACATTTGTGTTTCTGTTTTTCTATATTTTATTGAAATATTTTCCTTACCCAAAGTTGATGCGCGACCAGATCGTGGGACGACGTTCACCCAACTGCTCGGCTAGATGGGCCGGCAGGTTGGGCGCTCGATCGAAGGGATTGATGCGTTCGTGGGCCGGACGCACGGAAGAGTCCAGCAGGGCTGTGTATAAAGCAGGATTAGTTATTTAAACAGTCAGCGACTGTACCAACGACGTACCATTCTCATCGTCCGAGCTCTGGGACTCCTCGAAAGGGTTCCGACCAGCGTCCCCTCGCCGGAACGTGCCATGTCGCGTTGTCCCGGCCGCAGCAGCAGCCGCTGAAACACTCGAGCTGCTACCAGCAGCTGCCCCTGCAGCAGAGGAGGAAGAGTTCACCTGGACTCCTCCCTGCCTGCCGTTCGATTGCTGTTGCTGCAACAGTGGCGTGGTGTCGTCGTCCGTATCGGTGACATTATCCAAAGAAGGCTGTCGACTCCGACTTGCACGTGCTTCGCCCTTCGTAAAAACCTTGCGCTTGCAAATGGGACATACGCGGCGATTTTCGGTGAGCCAGGGATCGATGCAGTGTGTGTGATAAGCTACATGCAACAATAGAGATGAGATGGGTTAATAAATCAGCACAGAAGTCACTTCACTTACGATGCGAGCAGGGCAGTACCCGCAGCTTATCGTCCTCCACAAAGTCCTCCAGACAGATTACGCAGGTATCGTACTTGTTATTTGCATTGTTCTTCGTGTAGCGCAGCACCGGCAGCTTTTTCAGCATGCTCTTGGGCAGTCGATGGCGACGCAAGCGACGCTGCTCGCGGATGCACTTGTAGATCATGTAGATAACCTGGCAGAAAATCATTTAGAGCAAGAACGAATCAATCAAGGATCACACACTCACCATTATGATGAAGCACAGGCCGATAAGTATGGAGAAGGGCAATATAAGTTGGGTGTTAATGTTGAAGGGCAGCTCATCGTTGATGATCAGCACCACCTCGGGCGTGTTGTATGTGGCCAACGCCTTGCCCGTGGTGTGGCCCACAAATACGGAGGGTATTCTGATGCCCGTCGCATTATCGGCGGACATTTGCTCTGCAAAGTTAAGAATGCATTGAGTATTATTGTAGTTTTTTCTTACGAAACTGATTTGGTTTACCCAAGTCATCGCCTTCATTATTGTAGACAATCACAGCAGAATAGCTGGCATTTTGGGCAACTCGCACCTTCCGCTCAAAAGTGCAATCGCCACCACTAAAGAAATATTCGAAAATTAGCCACAAAAGGTGTGGACAGATAACTTTATATGTTCGCTACTTACCGAGATACCAGGGCCACAAATTTGGCATTAACTGGATAACTCTGATGCGGCGGTTTGTCCAGAGTATCACAACCAAAATATGGGCGCCTGGCGGGAACCACATACACCTTGAGACCATTTGAGGGCAGATTACCGCCAAATTGTGCTGGCAGATCATTGAACTCTTCAATCAACTGTAAGTAAGCCACATGCGATTAGTGTTAAGATCTAAATAAAAGGTTTTAATTAGAACCTACCTGACTTGTGATTCGTCGATAGACCAGCACATGACCCCTAGCCACTGCCGCCTCATGACAGACCAGGCACAAGCCCAGCAGGGTAATTATGTGGCAACTCCTCCTGGACATACTGCCACCCAGGACGACACAACTTCCGGCTATAATCGGGTTTTTCACTACACTGTTATTGCTCTAGTCCGTTGTGTCCACTGCTTCTGCGATGCGTTAAGACCATTCGCACTATTAGCATGTCTCATCTGGGTGCCACAGCCAGCGTTTAAGTGATTTCCGACCTTAGACTGTAAAATAGAAAGGAGGCAAGAGAGTGAGTGAGCAAGTGTGGTCAAAATTGTAAGTTTTTAAGCAAAGTAATGCATAAAGCAACATTAAACTAAGTAAAGAAGTATTAGAAGTTGTTAGCTTTCAGCCCCAGCATACAAGAACAAGATACATTTTAAGTCTACAAAGTGTAACCTATGTATCTTTAGCTATGGTATTTACTTATTTATCATATATATTGTTCTTTTTTATTATTAATGTCTAATGTCTTAAGAATATTTTGTCAAAGTTTCACATCGATCATCACCAAATTGACGAAGTTATGCATGGTTAAACCGAGGTCATTTGGTGTTCAATGTATGAGTATCAAGTCGAATTTTAAAAGTCGATGTACACGGTACCTCAAAATCTTCTGGACCAAAGTATGACACATAATTTCTTTAACTAATTCTATAGGTACTCAAGTCGTCCTTTTTTATGTATTTTTTTTTAACAAAGCAACTTAATTTTATGGTACAAATTCAAGGTTTTTCCTTTCCATTTTATTAAAAACAAAATTAGGAAAAAATTTTAAAGAAAAACAAGAAAGAAAGCTAAATTTTGTATACCCTTGCAGGTAACAATTAAAATATATCATAACTAAGCCAAAAATGCATTAATTTCGATTCAGAAAGCAGTTTTGTGTTAGTTTTTATTAATTAGAAAAAACTGCATACAAAATTTAAAATTTTAAGAAATCAACATTTTTGGGAATTTTTGCTAATTTTAATGATGTTACCCCTTATAAAATTTCACAAAATTGGCCAAAAAATCGATTTCTTCCGGACATGTCTAGAAAGATTCCCCTGTTGATGCTGATCAAGAATATATATGGTTTATGGGGTCGGAAATGATTCCTTGACTTAGAAAAATATTATTTTGTATTATAAAATCAGATTTTTTATATTAAAAAACTTCTTGATTTTTTTTTTAAATTAAAAATATCATAACTCGGCCAAAAGAGCATTAATTTTAAATCGGAAAACTATTCTGTGCAAGATTTTCTACACTTAATAAATCTGCATACTTCATTTAAATATTTTGAAAATTCATTTTTTTATCAAAATCAAAAATTTTAATGATGTAACCCCTTATAAAAGTTTGGCAAAAAAAATCGATTTCTTCCTGGCATATCTAGAAAGATTCCCCTGTTGATGCTGATCAAGAATATATATACTTTACAGGGTCGGAAAAGTCTCCTTCACTGCGTTGCAAACTTCTGACTGAAATTATAATACCCTGCAAGGGTATCAGGAAAAAAATGCAAAAAAAAAAAATTACGCTATGTGAGTACCTCGGGAAACTTATCCTTTACCGATTGCATAATATTTTTTGATATTGGATGATTCTGTGTTTAGTTAGGATTTAAACCGCAAACCAATTTTTTTTTTTTTTTTTTGAGGATACTCAGGAGTTTTCCTATAACTCCTATACCTCAGTTAAAAATTTAACACAAAATTGTTTAAATGTTGTGTTAGTAACAGCTCATTTTCTAATAGCTTTCTAAGTTGTCAAAGGTGTTCACTCAGTTCACTCAGTATTCACTCCCTTGTTCATTTAGTTGCTCACTCTGTTATTCACTCAATTACTCACTCAGTTGTGCGTTCTTCACTTAATTGTTACCTCATTTGATCAACTAATAAGTTGGTTGCTGAGTTTTGCACTTGCTTAGTTAATTAAATTTTGTTTAACTTCCTTAGTTGCTCTCTTGGTCATTTGCATACTTTTAAAATTCATTCATTTTCATACGTTTTTCTCTGGGAAATTAAGAAGGTTGCTTCTCACTCTCTCAAAAGCAACCAATATTAATAAATAATTAAAGTATTTAAATCTGCAAATATACGATATGTTGTCCCTGGCTGTGCTATTAACCTGACCGACATGGTAAATAAGGATCAGGCGCGAAGGCAACCTGTGATACATTCGGCTCGGCTTCGCGTTTCAATGGTAAACAAACAGCTCAGCCAGCTGATAAGATAAACGGCTTGTGATCGCTGGTACATTATAATTTTACGACCAAGTGCGCTGGCTGTGCAGGGGGGGTAGGTATGTACATATTTATATTGTATTTACATATGTATGAATTGCCGTTGATATGGCTAAATTTTACTTTTCTTCAGTCATGTCAGCCGAACAGCTGTTTTGTTTGTTGACACAGCAACGACGGTCAGTCAGTCCGTGCGATTTCTCGAAATTATTGCAGTTGATGTTTATGCAAGCAGCAGAAACAATCAACGCATTTGGCCGCCTGTCTGTGATTGGGCTCAATTTGCCAATCAATTGATTTTATCGGCCAAGTAACACGATTCGATATACTGACCGAGATCTCAGTAGGCAAATTCAGTAATCGCTTCAAAGCATATGGGGAGCTTGCCGGCTCAAACCAGATGAGTCACTAGCTGATAAGACCCAGAGACCTATAGCTAGCTCTAATCGCCACCAGGACGCAGATGGATCCCAGCGGATGACAACGAAGCAAAAGTGGAAAGTTTGGTTTATGAAAAATTAATAAATCTGCTAACCCGTTCGGCACTCATACACACCCCCTGGTGTGTACAAATATGCCACAAAAATGTGTATTAAATTCACAGGCCAACAAAGAAAGAAACGTCACCAGGCATTAGCACATCGATAGACAAGCGGATCCGCAGAGACTTTAATGAGAACGTGACTTTGTTTTTATTGGATGGGTAAACAATAAAATGGGGAGGAGGCCGACGACACACAGGGCTAAATATTCCGATGCGAAATTCAATCTGTAAAGGCGCGTGCGTCTGACAGAATTTCAATTTCCAATTGGTACAGGAATTTTACCTGCAAAAAAACAAAACCACAGAGCCTTGGATCCTTGCAATTTTCAAAGACAATAAATGTAAATGTTTATGCAGATATTCTTACACATTTTGGATTAATTTGTAATGTAATGTCTAGTATTAAATTAAAAAAAAAATATTAATAATAAATGTACTCTATTTATTTCATTAATAACTGAAATAGCTGTAGGATTATCTTTTGCCTAATCTGTGAATAATGAGTAATCTTTTACGATTGGTTTGTTAATAAGAGATAAGAGCTTTGCTTTGGGCCTATAACTAATCGGTTTGGCCTAGTTTTTGTTAATAAAATTTAGAACATCTCTTATAACTCTTTATTAATATTAAAAATCTTAGGAATTGAAAAATGTTTAACTTTTTACAACTAATACTATAACTACTTACTGATTACATTGTTTGGGAAAATTATATACCAGGAGGAAACAAAAAAAAATCTCTTAAATTCCTCTGATAAAAAAAAAACAAATATCAAGGCTTTCTACACTTGGTCCTCTCAGGGCCACTTTTTCAATATCCGGTTAAGGCCAACCATTCACTTTGTATTTAACGAGATCCGTTTATTTATTATTTTATTTAAAATGAAATTAAAATCCTGTTCCCTACAATATATCTGCACAAGTGTTTCGTTAATTCGCTTTGTTTAGAGGGCGCCGATATATCAAATTACACATTACACACCACCGCACACACGCAGCTCCCGCCCACATACACGCACATGTACACCTTGAACTTTACAAGGCACCACGAAGGGGGGGCTTATTCAAGGTTTTCTTGTTGTAAGAATATATGTATTAACGTATAAATATGTAGAAAAACGCCCCGCGGGTAACAGGTGAAACGCGCCAAAGGATAAACGAATAAAGCGCCGCCCAATTGGAAGCAGCAGCTAGAAGTTAATGTACTTCAATTTCGTAAATTCGCTTTTGTTATGCTTTTTTCAGGCGTATCTGCTGGGACATGTGCATGTGTGTGTGGGTGCCTGTGACTGCTTCTGTGTATGCGTTTAATTAACACAACAACAAAGCAGCTGAGAGCGATTTCCTGTGTTTTCCCAACCATTTTTCACGTACACTCACTGCAAACTTACTTGCTGATGGTTCGCGCAAAGCTCTTGGCTGGTACTTTTGTTCCCTTTCTGGCCGATTTCCTATATCCAATCCGATTTTTTTTCAACACTCGCTTGCCTCCCCACCCGTCGCCATCGCAGTGGAATTGCGTTTTACTTTGTTTTGACCTGCTCCGGCAGGCTGGGATGCACTGGCTCCGTGTCCGGCAATCAACGGAATCGTCGTTGTGTTACCCCCTGGGCATGACAGTAGTCGCGATAAGGGGAAAACGAAAACTTTTTGGCTCACTTGCTAATTATTGGGATATTACAATTTACATTCCACCCGAACGTTAGAGCTGGCACAACCGATGTTTTTAAAAATGATCGATATAATATCGATTATTTTGATTTTGCCATTCGGCATTTGGGTGCAAAATCGGGATATCGACTACTATCTCTAGATTAACAGCTGCTTTTGAAAAATGTTTGCCCGCTCTCATGAACAATACGACGATACAAAATCCATGAATTCTAAAGAGGAAAGGTAACTTTAACATTATTATAGTTTAAAAAACCATAATAATAAATAAACTAGATTAATTCTCCAAGTGGAACCTAATGACAAAAACAAGACACTAAACTTGGTTTTAATTTTTGAATATTTTTACTTTTGCAGAACAATAGAGCATTTTCGATTATAAAGTTAATTAAATCACATGCGGCGACTACTTTATCCAGAGGTACATCTTTCCCTGTATGGTGTGCTTGACGGGATTGATCTTCTTCAGGATTTTCGTCATGGTCTCAACCAAACGGTCGCTCGAGACGCCAGTCTTCTTGTTCTTGAACTTGGTGAGCAGCTCGGTAGCGGTCAGAGGCTTGCGCTTGAGATAGCGACGCACTGCCTCCTCGGTGATGCCGTAGTCCCTGCAAGTAGTGAATACACAAGTTAAAAGAAGTCTAAAGGAGGTCACTGGGTACACTGTACTCACTCTACTTTAGCACCGGAAAAGGATGTGGGCAGCGAGTTGCTGATCTCGTTCTTTGGCCTCTTCGCCGGTGTGCTAGTGGGACTGTTGCTGGTGTCCGAGCCCGTGAGATCACTGGGCAGGCTGTTCATCTTGCGTTTGCTGGCATCTGTCGAGAGGGTTGGCGTAGCCGATCGCGATTTGTTGGCATTGCTGCTGCTGCTGGTAGACGCCTTGCTACTGGCAGCTGCGCTCTCCTTGTCCTTCTCCTTCTCCTTGTCTTTGTCCTTGGAGGCTGTCTTCTTTTTGGGCGGACCATTGCTGAGATCGTCCTCAGAGTCTGTGCTGTCGGAGCTGAAGTCTGTGTCTGAGGAGTCGCCGCTACCATTCGACTTGCCCTTCTTATCGTCCTTGGCTGCTTTTTTCTTCTTATTTTTGTCCTTGGCGGCATCATCCTTGCCCTTCTCCTTCTTTTTCTTCTCGCCATCGCCATCTTCCTTGTCCGATTCATCGGACTTCTTCTCATCTTCCTCCTCCTCGTCGGAGTTGAGTAGCTTTCGAAGCGCATCCTCCTCGGCTACGCCCTTCATGTCCTTGTCCAGCTTTGCCTCCGGATCCGGTTCGCTAAAGAGGAAACATAACAGTTATTCTACGGAAAAATTAAATATTAGTTGGACATACTCTTCGCTGGAGCTGGTGTCGTAGTCCATTTCCCTGCCCTCCTCGTCACCATCATCAGACTCCTCGAAGGCCTCATCGTCTACGTCTCGCTTCTTCTTCTTTTTATCGGCTCCCTTTTTGCCCTTGCCCTTGGCCTTGTCATCATCGCTGTCCTCCTGCTCCTTCTTTTTCTTATCCTCCTCTTCATCAGAGTCGGACTCGTCCTCGGAATCGATCCATTCGTCCATGTCGGTGATCTTCAGCTCTTTGGACTTTTTGGTGGCCGCCTTCAGCAGCTTGGCCTCCTCTGGATCCTGTTCCTCTTCCTCGTCGCCTCGCAGACGCTTCCGCAACATGAGGGAGAAGTAGTTCATCACCTTCTTGCGCCGCCCAAACTCCTGTTCAGCCTCCTCCGCCGACAGGGACTTGTAGCGCTGGATGGGCTGGAAGTTGTACCACTCGTTCAGGGGATATGCCTCGATGGCTCCGTCCGGAGCATGGGTGAACACGTAGAAGGCGGCATTCTCGCCAACGCCGCCCTCCCGGATACCCTTAAACTTCTTGCCGGTCTTGCCACCGACTTTCAGGATCCAAGGCTGCGCCTCCGGGCGGTATTTCCGCGCAATAATGCCGAACTTCTTGCGACGCGCCTCCTCGCGCTGATCCCGATTATACTCAGATCCGGCGCCGAACTTGGGCTGATCCTCATCCATGCCGCGGAACTCCTTCATGTTGTTCTCCCGCTCCAGTTTCACATTACGCCACTGTGCGAAATCCACATTGAGGGTGGCATTGAACCGCATCACGTGGTGCTTCTTACGCATCTTGGGCACCCGGATCTTGAACTCCTGCACGTTGGAGGACGTTGCCGCGGCTGATGCCGAGGCAGCGGCTGCGGCGGCAGCAGCTGCAGACGTGGAGCCCCCGCTGGCAGCGTTCGTCTGGGAAAAAAAATCAAGTTTAGTGCTTAAATGAAGCGTTGGCGCTAAAACAGAGAGAGTTGCAACCTACCGCCGACTTGGCTGCGGACGACATGGCAAGTCTTGCTTAACTGTTTAGCGTAAAACTAAATAAAAGTCGTTTCTTAAACGGTATTTTAAGATATTTCTCAACTTTTAACCCGAGTCGCGGGCACAGGTAAGTCTGGCGTGCTAGAGATGAGATGGTTTCCGATATACGCTGCAGGTAGTTATCGAATGCGACAAAAAATAATTGTTTTGTGGCCTTTAAAATAAAAAATGAAATAAAATTAAGCCATGTTTATCTAATATTAAACCTTGTTTTTTAAATTTAAGAATTAAACTTGCCTTTGTTTGTGAAATAGGAAAGCGAAAGCTAATTTGGCCACACCGATCTCACAACATTTCAGTTTTATCGCTGATCGCCCATCTCAAATCGATAACACGCAAATCTTTAAATTGTTTATATTATATTGTTTATGGATAGTGGTGAAATTGTTTGCGAAAATGTCAAAGAACGTATCTCTAACGGATGAGCAGAGCCGCCTGAATGCGCGCCTGGAGGCGCACATGGTCTACATATGTCCAGAATGCGGCAAAGCCTTTCGCACTCAGGCCGAGTGGCGTCAGCATCTCAATACGGCAAGTTGGAGGCTCCCGAATACCCCCGTGGCCACTTTTATTAATTGGTTATTTGCTTTACATACAGAAACATGACTACCTGAACAAGACCTACTCGGACTTTAACTTTATCCAAATCGACGAGCGCTTCCATGAGTGTCAGCTGTGCTTCAAATGGGTGGAGAACGCCCACAACACAATCGCCCTGCTGCAGTACCACTACTTCATGCATCTGGAGCACAGTGAGACCTACCGTTGCGTGCACTGCCGCATGGCGTACACGAGGCGCAGGGCATTGAACGTTCACCTGATGGACACCCACATGCGAGAGATCGAGAAGTACGAGAACAAATTGCGCCAAATGAAGCGGCAGGAGCAGAAACCTTCCACAGCCCCTGCCGCGAATTCTGTTAATCCTGGGAATGCGGAGAAGCAAGTCGCAACCAAGGGGCCATTACGTGGACGTCCAAAATTAAATATGCAAACCAAAAAACGCAAAGACCTGCTGCAAACGGCACTCATGGACATTGACCTAGTGGCGGAAATGGAAAAGCCCAGCGCTCAATCACCACCAGCTGCGACCAAGACGACAAACAACACCAATGCCAGCGAACAGAACCTGGACAGGTGTCTGAATGCCTACGAGGACATTCTGCGCAAGGAGGAGGAGAAGGTGCCCAAGTACGAGGCGGATTTGGATGCATTGTGTCAAGAGTTTTTCGAAGATAAAGAATCTCTCACCCAAGATAAAGGAGATGAAGAGAAGGATGAGGCAGCGGCACCGGTGGCCCAGGAGGCGCAGAAGGAGAATCAGGAGGTAGTGATAATCGAGATCGATGCCCTTGGCAAGGAGGAGGTGGCTCAGCTGAGAAAGGAAATGAACACATCGAGCCCACAGCAACAGTCTGCCAAGCGCCGTCGGCTGTCAACGACGCCCACGCGGGACTCCGATACGGAGATATCCACCAATGGTCTGACCAAGCTCATCTCGTATTTGTGCCCCAAGTGCGGCAAGGAGATCGCCTCGATGGACGAATGGCGGGCGCATGTGTTCAAGAAGCATGACTTCGAGCACATCATCGAGAACAGCTTTAAGATCCTGGAGCCGGGTCGCAAGGCCATGTGCTTGCAGTGCCGTGAAGTCCAGCCGACCACCAGGCGGTCGCAGCTACAGAAGCACTGCTTCAAGCATCTGCCCTTCCGCTCCTATCTCAAGTGCACGCTCTGCTATCGCACCAAGACCAGTACGTCGAAGATTTTCAACCACATTCGCTACAACCACCAAGAGGAGCTGCAGCGGAAGAACAAAACGCAACTGCTCATCAAGCCGGAGCCCAAGTGGGCGAGTCCCAAAAGGCCAGCGACAAGGCCGGATAAAGCCGGTTCCGGTGGCAAAGACGAAGACGGGGAGGAGGAGGAGGGAGAAAGTCTGATCTGTGAGCACTGCAACAAGGTATTCAAGACGAAATGGCGATACGGGCGACATATCGCCGGCTGCCGAAGGGCAGGCATGCTTCGGCCCAGCACCCCAGTCGAGGGAAGCATCGCAGCCTTGCTGAGCCACCTCCGTGAGGGGTGTCAACGCATAAACCCCATCTGGAGATCAATGCAGCTTAATAAGACGTAGTACTTGGACTATTTAAGGTACAAAATGAATATTTATTTCCACCAAGGAAAGGCATTAATATTGAATTTTTACAAATTTAATGAATATCATAATTAAACTGTTTCCAAAATAGAGAAATTAAACCTTAAAGTCTTTCAGTTCTATATATTTTTAATGCTTATTCGTTTATGGTAATTAAAATATTAGACATTAACGCTGCAAACATCCCGGAGTACATCAAGTATTGACAACAATCCATTCGGGTTTCTTCTGTCTGCGGGAACTTTTTAGTCTCCTCATGTTTCCGGGCTTATTTTCATTGTGATCCTTGACTTCCTCGAGTTGCGACATTCCAGTGTCTTCCACCTCATGGTTGCTAGTTATTATAACTATATTCCGCCTTTCACGTTTTTTCTCTGCTATTTTCATCTCCCTTAGGAATTTAGCGAATTTTTTCTGTAGCTTTGGTTTATCTACATGAGGCGCTGGTATTGGTGCTCCCGTCGTAGCATCTTCTGTAGTTGCTCCAGCTGCATCTTCTGTAGTTGCCTTCCCCCCATCCCTGGGTTGATTACCACTTCTCCTCTGAACTTTTGGCATAGATGTAGCTTTAGCATTTGAGATCGCCTGTTCGTTATTCTGAATAATCTGTTCTGATTTATAGTCCCGTTGGCTGCTCAAATAATCGAATTTAAGTCTTGATCTTGCCCTGCTGTAGGTTTCATCTTGCGAGCACAGATTTGTGTATACTTTATGTTTACCAGTCTGGCAGGATGAGGCCGGCGTTTTGCTGGACTCGAAGATGGGAGCACCCTTAGTGGGGGCAACATCAAAGTTGCAGGTGAAGAAGGTCTGCCACCATCCGTTGTTGGACTGCTGGAGGACAGCGCAGCCCACATGCTTGGCATTTTCGACTACCATCTGGAGAAAATCGACCTTGGGCACCCTTGGTAAACATTTATTATTAAAAGGAATCAAGTTTTAAAGAAAGAATCTTACTTGGAAATCTGATCATCATTTGTGTCTGTCATTGAGCTGGAAAAGCGGGTCCGCACCCAAGTCCTTCCGATATCACTTAGGATGTCCTCCAAAGTCGGAATGTTTTTTTTAAAGCCGCGATAACCAACGATCTGACCAACGTGTTTATAGTTTTTGGTGTTCAGACAACTATCGGAGTTAAGCATACACTTCTGCACATTGAACTCGGCCAGATGCGATAGCTCCGAGTCCCAAGTTAGGGTGGACATGCGGGCAGCCGGATTCACTCCATTATATCCGCCCTGCGCAGCATTATTTCGCAGCTCGTTAAGGCGATGAGTTACAAAAGTCCGTAGCTTGTCAGTTATTGTTACAAGCTCAGCGTTCATTGAACATCTTTTGTGGAGTTCCTTTAAGAATATAATAATATATATATAAGATAAGAATAAATAAAATTGTATTTTAAATTAAAATTAAGCAGATTTATTAGGCTTATAAAAACTAACTCAAAACTGCTTTGTTACTTACGTTTGTAATGTTACAGGCGACATGGCGTTGACCTTTAAGACATAACGAGGGATCGCAATAGTCTACATTTTTGCCAGCTTTATCCTTCTGTGTTGTTCCCGCTTTTTTTGGTGTGGGTGTTCCTTCTGCAGCCTGGACTACGGTCAAATGTATGGCGAGTCCCAGAAAAAGGAGACCGCCTAGGGACGACGTTTTCGAAACAGAAATCATGGCTTAATAAACGATTTCTTTCCAAAATGAAATAGTCAAGCTCTTAATCCGTGAAATCGTGATATTGCGAGTAAATCGAATAATACATGAACTTAACGAAACAATCCAATATCCCGTGGCATTCAGCGGGCTAAAAAAGTGCTCATCCAGACTGGAGATCCCTTTTTAAATTAAACACAAACTAAAAACTTAATTTTACTTATTTTTGGAAGTTTAAGTTTATTGTTTACAGTTCTTGTTTAAATACGAAACAAAGCGTGCAAAATTTGTTTTTACTGTATAAATAGTAGCTTTACGCTCTTTGAGCTCTCTTTTCTGTTGACGCAACTTGGATTTGAAAAGCTCTTCTAAAGCCAGGACACGTTCGCACATTTCCAGCTCAGCGATGATCTGCGGCCAATCGTCCACTGCAAATATGTCCATGAGAGCATCCAGGCCTTCGGACAGGGCCCACAAATCGTCCTCGCGTGCACACGAGTTCAGCAGGAAGAGCACAATGGCTTTGACAAGCGACTCCGAGAGCAGGGAACCCAAGGTGCCAAGCATCCGGTTCCAGTTTACTCGAATGTCCATTACGGTGCATTTGCTGGCGCCCTCGATGATCATGTTTAGATCGTTCTCGGTCATCTGGCCAAAGAGATCCCTACGTGACTTTAGCAAACTCAGTGAGGAACGCATCAGCGAGGTTATGGCCTCCATGACGGCCGCGTCCTCGGTTCCCTTGAAGGCCTGCTGGCCCAGATTCATCCACATGTTGTAGATGTCGCTATAGCCACCCAAATTTTCGGCAGTCAGCACATTGCATAGATTCTGCAGACAAATGAGGTAGGACACCCGCATTTTCGCCAGCTTTTCCCGAATGTTTTCTTGCTGATCGAGAAGCTTCTCCACAGAAGGATCCAAAGGCTGAGCTTTTTCCCACAGCTTTTGCACCATTTGGTTCTGTTTAATGGTCTCCAAGAAGTTGGCCGGCAAGCCCCCACTTCCACTGTCCGCAGCATCCTCCTCCATCTCGTAGTCGGCCACACTCTCTGTCTCTGATTGATTGCTGTCCGAGCCCCATTCGCTTTGGTCGTCGCTTGATCCCAGGTTTGTGATGATTTCCGCCACCAGACGCTGGGCGTCCAGCAAGTGCTCCAGGTTCTGCAGCGCCTCCTCCCCTTCACTCTCATTCGTTTTGGCCGGATTGGCGCTCTGGGCTTCACTGAGCTCCTCAGTTTCCATGGATATCTCCAGCACGGGGGCCTCGTTCTTAGACTTGGCCGTTTGAATCTCGGATTTGCATCCCAACAGCTGGGCCTGTGTATCGATGGTGAGCAGCTGGTTTAGGCTTGTCAGGATCTCCCGGGTGTGGGCAGCCGCACATGCGGGTACATTGCACAGAATTCCAGCGGCCAGGGCGTTGAGGTAGAGCTGTCCGTGGCTCTCAGCCGGAACAGTAAGAAGCTCCGGCAGTATGTTAGCGTTGGCCAGAAGGTTCCAGGAGCTGGAGTTATTCTCGGACACTACTAGGACCAACTGGGCCACTGAGAGGGCAATATCTAGGCCGAATTTTCTGTAATCCAGGCACAAGAGCAGCCTAGACAGGAGGTTTGCCTGGTTGAAGGCTTCCGTGGCCGTCGGCGAACTCTCGCACAGATTACGCAGCAAATGCACTGCCTGCAGGAAAATGTCCGAAAGGATTTCGCTGTCGAAGCCATTTTTGGTCAGATCATAGTCCAGCAACAGTGACAGCAGGGCCGTTAATATGTCGTTGTCCACGAGAAAGTCGCACACCTCCGAGCCGAACACGGAAAGATTTCGGAAGGCCCCGGCTGCCGCATCTCGAATGGCTGGCTCCCTATCGCACAGTAGGGGGGCCGCAATCCGGACCAGCTCGCTCTCGCAAATCTCCCGCACCTTCTCCTTGCGCAGCGCCAAAACCGCGAAGGAATGCAGTCCGTTCAGCTTGTCCTCCACATCCGGCCGCTGCAGATGCACACAAATCGCCTCGATGGGACCGCAGCCCGTTGCCTCCTCCTCTGTCGCATTGTCAAGTGCGTTTTCCAGATCCACAGAGGTATCCACGCCGGAGGGCGTCCGTGTTTTTACTTTCCGGATTTTGCCCATTGCAACAAGCCGTCCTGCACGTGTTTACCAAACCGCGGTGTGACCAGGCCACTTCTTTGTCAGTCTGGCAGCGCTTTCTGGGCTGCCACTTGCTGCCATTCGATAAACCAATATTTATCGAGAGCAATCTTGGTTTTATTTACATCTCTAGCGGCAGAAAATTGCAGAAAATTTCGGAAAATTTTCTAAATGCAAAGCGTTAAGTGAAAACTGGGTAGAATGGAAGCAAACGTAGATGAGAGCATGGAAAGCGAACTTGCCAAGTCGCCGAATAACAAGCTGGAGGCGAACCAATCGCCTCCGCCAGGCGTGAGTTTCAATGGAAATGGAAATGGAAGTGGCAGTGGCGATGGTGGCCAGGAGGCGGCCAACCCTAATAATGGCGTTGCTATAGCCCAGGAAAAACCTAACGAGGCCCAATGGTGCGTAGTCAAGGAATTTATAGTGCTAAAACGAAAAACACTGACTTACCTTGACCCATTTTCAGGAGCAAACCCTTTAATGCATTCAGTGGACGCCCCATTGGGGAGCACACGGCTCAGCAGCAGGCGCTCCAGCAGCAACAGCAGGCGCTCCAGCAGCAGCAGCAACCAAGCCAGCAACAGCCGCCGCCTGGAGCGAATGGTGTGATCGGAGGACCTCCAGAAATCTGGGTGGAGACCAAAGCTGGGGATGACCGCTCCTACTACTACCATGCAGTGACAAGGGAAACCACATGGACGCGTCCCGAGGGCCCTAATGTCAAGATCATGACACAGGCCGAGGTGGAGGAGATGGCAAAGCGACCAGCACAGGCCGCTAAGGCGGAGCCAAAAAGCACGGAACCGCCCGGAGAGGTGCCGGCAGTGTCTCATCTCACCTCACAGCCGCCGCCACATTTGATGAGCCAGCCCCCGCCAAATGCCGCGGCGCCTCTGCTCTCCCAACCGCCGCCCAATGTGCGTCAACAGCCGCCGCCCATGTTCCAGCCGCCGGGTATGCAGCCGCCTCCTGGATTTGGTCAGCCCCCGTTTTGCATGCCACCGCCGGCTTACGGATTTCCAGGAGGAGCTGCTCCCGCCGGCGCACCCTGGGGTGTGGGCATGCCGCCCTGGCAGCAACAGCAGCACATGCACGGACCTCCTGGTGGACAGGATAAGCCTGCCAAGACTCTGATAATCAAGCCTGGTGTCATCGATCCTGCGGTCATAGCTCGGGCTGCCGAGTGGTCGGAACACCGAGCCCCGGATGGCAGGCCCTACTATTTCCATGCTGGACGAGGCGAGAGCGTCTGGGATAAGCCGCAAGCCTTAAGGGACATGGAGGCAGCTCGAATGGCCGCCCATTCGGGAGTGGCGCCAGCAGTGGCAACTGCTCCGACAGGCCTGCCGCCCCACCTGCTGCCCAATCCAATGATGCACCTGCCGCCGGGCACAGCACCCCCGGGATTTGATCCGCATGCTGCTTTTGCGGCAGCTGCCGCTGCAATGAAGGCCAATTCAGAGAATACCAAGGCGGCGCAGGCTGCCGCTCTGGAAAAGGAGGCCAAGAAGGCGGCTGAGGAGAAGCGAAAGAAGGAGGAGGAGCAGAAGAAGGCGGCGGCCACGGCCAAACAAACGGACAAGAGTCGACCGGTTACAAGTACCCCAATCGCTGGCACACCTTGGTGTGTTGTGTGGACTGGAGATGCCCGCGTTTTCTTCTACAATCCCTCAACCAGAACATCGGTTTGGGATCGTCCCGAAGATCTAATGAATCGCGAGGATGTCGATAAGGCCGTTAACGAGAGACCCGAACAGTTAAAGACGCCACAGGAGAAGACAGCCGAGGCAGAACAAAAATCCACCGAAGAGGCGGCACAGGACCAGACGCAGGCACAGGCACAAGCCCAACAGCAGCAGCAGCAACAAGTGCAGCGGGTGGAGCCGGATGACGATGACGATGACGACGAAGTGATCAAGATACGCACAGAGTCCGAGTCCAGTGTGGAGGAGGTGCCCACCAAGCGAGTGCGAATGAGTAAGTTCTTTACTCTACAAATCATAAAATTCTTAATTATAAATTTCCATTTTCAAGTTTCAAAGTCAAAGCGAGCCGAAGATGCCGCTCTGGAGGCTGAACAGCGGGCGGCCAAGGAGCGGGCCTTAGTGCCGCTGGAGATGCGTGTCACTCAGTTCAAGGAGATGCTAAGGGAGAAGGACGTTTCGGCATTCAGCACTTGGGAGAAGGAGCTACACAAGATCGTGTTCGATCCACGGTATCTACTGCTTACATCGAAGGAACGCAAACAGGTATTTGAAAAGTATGTCAAGGATCGGGCCGAAGAGGAGCGCAAAGAGAAGCGGAACAAGATGCGGCAAAAGCGGGAAGACTTCCGAAGCCTCATGGAGGAGGCCAGGCTGCATGGAAAGTAAGTATTCTTTTATGGAGCCCTAAGGGGATGACGGTTTCTAAAAAATCGAAAATATTTTTTGCAGATCTTCGTTCTCCGAGTTCAGCCAGAAGAACGCCAAGGATGAGCGTTATCGCGCTATCGAGAAGGTACGCGAGCGGGAGAGCCTATTCAACGAGTACATCGTGGAGGTGCGACGGCGCGAAAAGGAGGACAAGTTACTGAAGAAAGAGCAGGTAGGCCCAGGGCATGCTAACGCCCCAATCCCATCCTCCTTACGTATCTCGATGTTAAAACATTTATATGCATATATCTTTATAAACTATATTTAATAACTTACCCGTATGCCAAACGTATTTACATAATGTGATTGATTTTCTGTTAACTTTTAAACCATAAACAACGTGTGAATCGAAACTGAATCAAACCAAACTGAAAATGAAACCGATACCGAATCTGAATCTGAATCCCCCTGAACGAACGTGTTGGGTTCCCGGTGGTTTGCCACCCCGATACTTTAGCCACTAGCTAACAGGTTACAGCACAAATGCACCACCCAACACACCAAAATACACAAGAGCAACAACAGCATCGACCACTACGACCTGTACAAGTACCTCATCGTCCTCAGCAACCCTCAGCCCGTTGCCCGCCGCCGCCCGTCGTCTGTCATCGTCATCCGTCGTCGTCCAC